CCGCGCGCGCGACAACGACCGCGGCGCCGCGCGCCGCGGCGAGGCGCGCGAGTGCGCGCGCGAGGGCCGCGGCGAGCCGGCGGCCGGCGTCGTTGCGGTCGCCGCCGAGGTCCGGGAGCAGCGCAGCGGCCGCGGCGTCGACGACGACGAGGCCGCCGCGGCGGAGGCCGCCCCGCGCGCGGCCCGCGGCGGCCGCCGCGACGGCGCGGAGCAGCGCGCGCGCGTCACTGCAGTCGACGGCGCGCGCGCGGCCGCCGAGCGCCGCCGCGGCGACGGCGCCGCCCGCGTTGAGCCAGAGCACGTCGGCGCCGCGCGCGGCCGCGGCGGCCGCGGCGTCGCGCAGGAGCCGGCCCGCCCCGGCGCCCGTTGCCCCCCCGACCTCGGTCACGGAGCCCGCGGCGAAGCGGCCCCCGGCGCCGGCGCGCGCCGCGCCGCGCCGCGGCGCCGCTGCGGCCGCGGCCGCGGCGGCGGCGCCGAGGTGCCGCTCCGCCGCTCCACCGCGGAGCGCGACGATCGCGCCGCGCGGGAAGCCCGTGTCGCGCTGCAGCGCGTCGACGTCGCGCTCGAGGAGCGTCTCGAGCGTGAGCACCGGCGGCGCCAGCCGGGCCAGCGCCGCCGTCAGCTCCACCGGCAGGCCGAGCCGGCGCAGGGGAGGCATCTGGTCGCACAACAAACCCCAGGGAAAGCTTGCCCGGCCAATTCAACGAAAAACGTTGCCTCCACCCTCTTGATGCGCATGCCGGTTCTCCAGGGTGGAGAATGGACCACTTCGTGGCGTAGGGTGGCTTTAAGTACTTCGCGGCGTCGGCGGCGTGCACTGATGGGTGCCCCTTGGTCGCCGTGTCGAGGCGACCATAATCCGCGCTGACAGCTTCCTCTGAGGTGCCCCATGCGCCGAGCGCCGGGAGCGCCGAGCTGCCCCATCGCGTGGGTGGACCTCGGCGCGCCAACGCCTGGTTTTTAAAATTTTTATTTTTTTTATTAGTCCGCCCGCGCGCCACGAACTCGCACGCCCGTGGGCACCTTTGGCAAGCTCTATCACTGCCATGGCCACCTCGGGAGTTGCAAAAAATTTATTCTTGTTGCATCTGAAAGCCGGCACCGCTATGATGGGTCTCCTCCTCGTCGCGGCGGCGTCGCGGCTGGCGGCGTCGCTCGTGGCGCCGGCGGCGGCGCCCGCGCGGCGGGCCGCCCGGCGCGGCGGCGGCGGGCCGCGCTTCGCGGCGGGCGGCGGCGGCCCGCGGCCGCCCCGGGCGACGGGCGGGCTCCGGTCGCTGCCCGTCGCGCCCGCGGCGGCGGAGCTCGCGGCCGCGGCGGCGCGGCGCGCGGCCGCGGTGCCCGAGGACGCGTCGGAGCGCAACGCGGCGCGGCGCGCGGCGCGGCGCGCGGCGCGGCGCGCGGACGCGGCGGGCCAGGCCGCGACGGCGCCGCTCCGCGCGGCGGCGGCCGCGCACGAGCCCGCGCGCCTGGCCCGGTCGCTGCACGCCTTCGACCTCGCCTGCGCCGAGGCGACGCTCGCGGCGCGCGCGCGCGCGGGCGCGCGGCCCCTCGGCGCCGTGCTCGCCGACGTCCGCGCGCTCCGCCTGGCCGTGCTCGCGGCCGCGCGCGGCGGCGCGGCGGCCGCGCGCGCGGCGCCGGACGCGCGCGGCGCGGCGGCCGCGGGCGACGACGCCGTCGCCGCCGTCGTGGCGCTCCTCGGCGCGCCGGCGGCGGCCGCGGCGCTCGACGAGCTCCGCGCGCACGGCCGCGCGCTCCGCGCGCTGCCGACGGTGTCGCTCGCGGCGCCCGCGGCCGCGGTCGTCGGCGCGCCCAACGTCGGCAAGTCGACGCTCGTCGGGCTCCTCTCGTCGTCCGCGCCCGCCGTCGCCGACTACGCGTTCACGACGCGCGGCGTCGGCCTCGGCCACGTCTACGGCGCCGCGGCGGGCGCGGCGGGCGCGCCGCCGCTCCTCGGCCAGGTCCTCGACGCGCCGGGGCTCCTGCGGCGCGGCCCCGGCGAGCCGCGCAACGACCTCGAGCGGCTCACGCTGGCCACGCTCGACCACCTCCCGACCGCCGTCGTCTTCGTCGCGGACCTGAGCGGCGCCGCGGGCGACGCGGCCTCGTCGCCCGCGGACCAGCTCGCGCTCCGCGCCGAGCTCCGCGCGCGCTACCCGCGCCGGCCCTGGGTCGACGTCGTCGCCAAGGCCGACCTCTACGCGGCCGCGGCGGACCCGGCGCCGGCCCCGGACGGCGCGCTGCTCGTCTCCGCGCGCGACGGCACGGGCGTCGCCGAGCTCCGCGCGCGCCTCGAGGCCGCGCTCGCCGGCGTCGCCGCCGCCGTCGCGACGCGGCGGCGGCCGGCGGACGCGTGAGCGGGCCGCGCGCGCGACACGCCGCCGCATCGCCGCCGGCGCCGACTCGCGCGGAAAACGCCGCGCGTCGCTGCGCTACTCCTAGTCGCGCGCCCGCGCGGGGGGGGGCCCGGCGTCAGGCGCCCCGGCCGAGCGCGGCGAACGGGTCGTCGGGCGACCCGGGCGCCGCGGGC